TGGCTGGCCTGGCCTATTTACAAACTTGACTCCTATTTACATACTATTTACAAACTATTTACAAACCTATTCACAAACCTATTTACAAACTCCAATTTAAAGGAAAAAAGAGAGCGCACTCTCTTGCCAAAAGAACAACAAATTCGAATGTCTTTTGTCAAAAATGTGCGCTCTCTTTTTTCCTTTAAATTGACCCGCCCAGCCCCCAACCCCCCAGCCCCACCCCGCCCACAGCCCCCACCCCCCTACCCCCCAGCCACCCCCTCCCCTCCCAGTTCCAGTTCCCGCCACTCCGCCCAACCCCATCCGGCAGCCACTGCTACGACACCTCCACGCGAAAACGACAATACAATGCGCACACTACACTCCAGACATCAATGCTGCTTTTCACACCAAGCGCTCTAGGCTCCACGGCCGCCCTCCTCAAAGAAATGGCCCTTGGCTTCATGGAGCCGCTCGCAACGGCGGACCATGTCCCCAATGCTGTTCGGCAGGGAGCGGATGGTGCGCTTCAGGCGCTGCACGTAGCTCTGCCGTGTCTCGCGCTTGGCTCTGGGCCAGGTCTTCTCTTGCCTTCGAAGCCGCTGGTTCACTTCTTTCCAAACGGCGTAGTCGAGTAAGGAGAGGTCAGGGCTGCGCTTTGGAATCTCCATCACGTCCAGCTTCGCAGCTTCGCCCTCGCTTTGGCAGCGACACCTGCACACACAGACACGCGTACGCGCAGACGCACACGCGCACACACACACACACACACGGAGCAGCAGGGCAAAACATGGTCGCTCCCTGCCTTTTGCGGACTTGTAGCCCGTCGGGTCGTTGTCTTCCAGGATGGTGTACTTCAGCTTGCCGGGGCAGGCCCGCTCCAGTCCTCGGCGCAAGGCCTCATAGAAGGTCACGGCCGCTTGCCCGTTCCACCGGCTCTTGACTTCGTGGACTGCGACAACTTTGCCGCCACCGACGCCGACCTGGAGGAGGACTCCCTTGGCGCCCGTGTTATGCCTGAGGGACCCCTCCTTGGGCTTGACGTACCCTGCGCACAAGCCTTTGCCAGGCCGTCGATAGGCGCCAAAGGTGCCATGCTTCGCTGCCCGGGCTCGCTCGGCGCCAGTGAGGTAGACCTGACAGGACAGCACGCTATGTCCACGCGGAGCACTGGCAGGTGCCCCAGAACCATCATGCGCGCACAGACACACAACAGACGCACAAATCTGGACAAGAAGGCTACCTTGCACCCCTATGCACGTAGGCACGCGGCCTGGAAGTATTTCCCGTCGATGAATGCATGGCCAGGCGCGGGTCTTCTTGCGGTAGGTCTGGGCAAACTTGCGCCGCGCCTGGACGTCTGCAGGAGTGAGCACAGGTTTTTCCCGGAGCCTGCGGAAGTATATATTCCGCTTGTGCAAAGCCGCAAGGATCGTCTGGACGCCAGCGCTTGTTTTTGTTGCCTTTTTCAGGGCTTCGACCGTTACCACCTTCTGACCATCCGCTTTGACGATCATTTCGTCCAACTTTCTCTCGAGGTAGTCCACCTTGGCATCAGTCAATGCGCAAGGTCGCCCCTGCCTTTTGGCTGGCTGCTGCTTGCACAGCAGCCGGGTCAAAGTGGAGGCGTCACGGTCCAAGAGGCTCGCGATTTCTGACGGTGATTTCCCCTCCGAGTACCAGTGGCGGGCCATGGACCGCTCCTCCTCCGTCATCTTCACCCATCCACTGCTCGGCATAGCTCGGACCGGCCTGTGAGAAGTCTACGTAGCTGCTAGTCCACAAGTGGCTTCGACACACAGCAACCTTGTTCATGCGCTGGACACACGGCCAGCCACGCGGCACAAGTGTACACCCTCATCGGCGCGACTGCATCCCTGTCTACGCGACAAGGCCCAGACACAATCCGGACACACTGCTGCACTGATGCACACGCAAACATGACACGCCGCCGCACCATGGCACTACTCTTAGTCACTACGCGCTCTACACTGGTCCACTCTACCCAAGGAGTCCACAAGCAAGCACAGCACGCGCCTACACGCCACTCCGCAGTACCGAGGCCGTAGTTGCAACGCAAAGGCTCTGCGCAACAAGTCCACACGCAGGCATGACACACGCGGCTGCAAGTGAGAGACACACGCGCACACACACACACACACGAGGCAGAGCTCCAAGACCACAACCCCAAAAAGGAGACGGTGGATGGTAAAAATCCTGCATGACCCAGCAAGCCAGCAGCAACAGCAAGAACTACAGACTTCCCCACACCCCTCAATCTCAATG